GATGAATTCCATATTTTCTTGGACCAAGAATATGCGTTCTTCTGACAATGTAAATAATATTTTGATTCAAATCTTTACTTACTTGAACCAACATTACAAAAATTTAAATGAATCAAATGCAATAATTGATTTGACTATACAGATATTCTTAGAACAAGAAAATATTTTACTCATAAAAGTCGATTTACTTTTTGATCGAATTTCCATATTTTCTTGGATCAAGAACATATATTCTTCTTTCAAATATACTGCACCAAGTAAATCGTTTTCTTGAAATAGTAGCATAATTGATTTGATCGTATTCAGTCCCACGATTTTCTTGAATTAAGTAAAATTTTCTTAGTTCAATACTATTTTTTTTTCAGTGTATCACTTACAATTGTAGTTCAACTGTCATTGTTTATTATTTTATCATCATGAATGATGTTATACATTTTCGCCGTGTTCTGTGAGAGACTGTCACAGTTAGTACCGTAGCGAAAAATTTAAACGTAATTTTTTATTTTACGAAGCCAAAACAACGTGTAGTGAATATAAAAAATACGTTCGATAATTTTGAAATTTCTTCAAAAATAATCAGTATAAAATCTTCTGTGAGATCTTATTCTTCATTAATAAAAGTGTTATCCAAATTACGCCATATTGCTTTAGACAACGCCCTCATGTCAGATCTCGCATTATATTTGTTTAATAAAAATATGTGCACACGAAATGAACAAAACCTAAAGTGAAGAATATAAGAAACAACTCATGTAACATAAAATGTTTGCCAATGAGTAGGTAAAAAACCTTCAATTATGTAAAAAAAATATTTGTAAACTCAATTTTTTTTGCTATCAGAATGTATTTAGGATGTTCAGACTGAGCACGTTTTTGGATATTAACAAAACGAGTAAATATTTGCTTACTGTTAGAGCCGTTTTTTAAATTAATTTTATAACGAAAGGCCTTACGAGGCCTTTTTCGTTATAAAATTAATAAACAAGTATATGGAGGATTTCACGTGAAGTGATGAAAGGGGAAAAAATATATTTTTATTGTAATTATTTTTTTTCTCTTAAATATTAAACTCAATAATTTTATTAATATCACTTTCGAAAGCTATTTTTAATTCTCTTTCGATTGGTAATATGCATTTTTCAAAAAAAACATTTAACAAAAAAAATGAATCTCAACAATAAATTTGACTTTTTCGTGCTGAAAGGTACGATTTTTTTAAATTGAAAGCTAAGGTTTTTATCTATAAAAATATACAGTTGAAAAAACGGGACAAGAATGTTTAAATATTGAAAAATAGTAAAAAAAAAAATATTCATTATCAATATTTAAACATTCTTGTTCTACTTTTACAACTACATATTTTTAGAGGAAAAAATCTCAGCCTTCGATTCAAAAAATCGTACCATTCACCCGAAAAAATCAAATTTATTTTTGAGTTTCATTTTTATTGTTAAAAGTTTTTTTTCAAAAATGCATATTACTAATCGAAAGAGAATCAAAAAAACTTTGGAAACTTTCATTAAATTTTTTTTTTATTTTAACATTTAAGGAAAAGAATTATTAAAATATGCGGTGTACCGTAAACCCTAAAGCTTTCACCTCCTCCCCCTCGGAAAATATTGGACTGAATGAAAAAATATTTTTACCAAAAATTAACATCTATAAATATTACAAATCCCCTGAGTTTAAGCGTGACCAGAGAAAAATATTTTTTTTGACTTAATTACATCACCTGGGATCCCTCATATATTAAATAGAAATCGAAATTAATCTTATATGCCAATTAAGTTATATATAAATATTTATTCATAATATGTAAACCCTAATATGATGTTGATATTGACAGAAATGAGATAGAGCAGAATACATTTTTGCGTTTCACAGCGAGGAAAACAGGGACTCCGTACTAATTTATTTCTCACGATTATTCTGGGCTTCGAGGTTGTAACGCACAAAATTGTTTTTACTTAATTTATATGGGCATATCTCTAGAACTTTTAAACTTTATGTTATCGCTCATTATGATACCTTAAGAATTTTTTAAATAATTTTTCAATACCATAATTTGACCAATTATAGGGCTTTTTAAATGTATCATGCGTTATATAATTTTTTTAATTATGTAGGAAATGACGAACGTAAGTTAAAGTGGTGAAATCGACAGTTTCTAGTGTGTGATATTGACTGTTTTTTTTAGTTTATAGACTGTAACTTTTTTAACGAAACATTGTGTGTCTTGTGGCTTGCAATAGAAGTAGGTGGGAGTGTAAAGAACTAAAAAATCCATGAAACAATGATGTGCCTCAAATTGAATAAAAACTATGTAGCTTCAAACTTGCGAGACAACTTTTTCAAAATTTCTACAAGTTAGCAGTTAAACTGATATAACTTTTTTAACGAAGGTTTTTGAGTAACGGCACAACGGGATTATATTATCTACCTAATAAGAAGTAATTTGAACCCATACAGGAATGTGTGCCTCCTTTACACAAAGAATGCAATGACTTCAAACATTAAATTTTAAAACGTAACTCATATCAAAAAACCACATATTTGAAAAGCACATGTTGAATTTTGCTTCTAAATGCTCCCAACTCATTGTAATCTCTTCTCATGCATTATAAAAGTCTACAGAAAAATCGTTCACCTTTGCACACTTCATTAAAACTTTATAATTAATAATGAATATAAACCTAAACTGTCCGACGCATAGTTTGTGAAGAAAAGTAAGTATTAACTAATAGATGTGTTTAAATCTGTCTGATATTTCTCACTCGAAGGTTTTTGGGGTCGCTGCGACTACTAATCTGAATTTTAAATTTTCCAAAATTCAGAATGGCGAATCCAATATGGCGGACGACTTTTTAAAAAAGTGATCCCATTGGCCTCAAATTTTTTACTCGGGGGTTTTTGGGGTCGCTGATTATGAATCTGAACTTTGTTTTTCAAAATTCAAAATGGCGGATCCAATATGGCGGATGACTTTTAAAAAAATTGATCCAATTGGCCTGAAATTCGTTACTCGGGGGTTTTTTGCGTCGCTGACTACGAATCTGAACTTAGTTTTACAAAATTCATAATGGCGGATGACTTTGTACAAAATTGATCCCATTGGCCTAAAATTTGTTACTCGGGGGTTTATGGGGTCGCTGATTACGAATCTGAACTTAATTTTTCTAAATTCAAAATGGTGGATCCAAAATTGCAAACAAAATTTTTTAAAAAATTGAATAATTGAAAAATATCTTTCTGACATATTTGATACACCATTTTAAATATTAGTAATGAAACTTTAAATTTTATGTACATGGTTACAAAAACTAAGCTACGAAAACCCCCAAGTAACAAATTTCAGGCCAATTGGATCAATTTTTTTAAAAGTCGTCCGCCATATTGGATCCGCCATTTTGAATTTTGAAAAACTAAGTTCAGATTCGTAATCAGCGACCCAAAAAACCCCCGAGTAACAAATTTCAGACAAATTCGATCAATTTTTTAAAAGTCGTCCGCCATATTGGATCCGCCATTTTGAATTTTAAAAAAACTAACGTCGGATTTGTAATCAGCGACCAAAAAAATCCGCGAGTAACAAATTTCAGTCAGTTTTAAACACATCTAGAGATTTTGGGCAGATTTTTTGCAATAAGGCCCACTGTGCTGCGTAACAATGTGTAAAAATGAGTTACGCAAATTTTTGTATAGTATTTGATCAATACTGAAGACAATAAAATTTGTTTCACGAATGTGCCCTGAAAGAAAATTAATTTTTCTAATATCTCAAAGTTTAAAAGTTCTAGAGATATGCCCATATGCCGATCCCGGTGATATCTTCACTCTATGTTATCACAATCGTATTAAGAATCATTTTAAATTACACGGGCTACTAAGTTGTATGTAGCGCTGATTGCACTATAGCAGACAACGAAACCAAATGGCTAATCTTCTTGGAAAAAATCTAATATTTAATAAAATATTTTATGAATGATCGTAAAACGATTATAATTATGTATGTATTTTTACTTGAAAAATAAAGAAACTCGGATTTTTTGAAACATAATATTTTGTACTGTTTAAATTTAAAATTTTATGGTAAAATAAGTGTTTTGAAAACTTTTTGTTTAAAATTTTATAACTTTGCCATTTTTCATATATTTTTGAAGATTTCTACTTAGTTCTAATATGTGGCGCGCCCTAATATGTAGTACAATAAATTCGTCAAATTAAATAATTCTAAGACTTTTTCTAATGTTTTCTTACAAATAAATAAATAGTCTGCAGTGTGAAGTGATTTAATTAATTTACGATTTCTATATTCTATTATTAAGAACCCAATTGGCCGTATCGAGCTCTTTTTAAAGTTTGATTTCAATGAGGTGAAATAGGTGTTCATCCAATGCAAGTGGATTGATTGAATTTTAAACATAAATAATTAAATACCATTCCTTACTTTAAAATGTTACCTCGTAGAGGAACCAAATTCTTTGCTGATAGCAATGAGGAAAATAAATATTTATGAAATAAATATTACTTTTGTCTTAAAAGGTTCCCACGTCAACTTGTTAAAATGACTAGAAATCAGACATTTCTATGGCTGATAAGTTTAAGTTTACTCTAAAGGCTGAAGATCATGTTTTGAAGTCTAAAATTTATGTCCTTTGTAAACGATTTGAGTTTAAAGTGTGTTGAAATCCAGATTTATTTTTTACAGTGTGTGATTGGTCGAAATCTTTCGCACCATAAAATGTCTTAAAAACGAGGACAAGTCTGTCTTAAAATAAGACATTCGTTTATTCAGTGTACGTATTCATGCAAAGAGTTAATTAATTAAAATTTTTTTTAATTAGTTTAATTTGCTGCATAGTTGAAACAGACAGGACAAATTTTTGAAAGACGGAAACCAGACAATTCTGAAGTAATTTGGAATTACGAATATAGGGTTTTATAACTTTTAATATAATAATATATAGTTAATTTTATTAATAAAATTAATTTTTACCTACCTCAGTAACAGGGGGTTCTTTTGCTTGAGCCTCCTGATCAGGTTTGTCCGTTTCTTGAGGTTGATTACCATTTTCAACGCTATTCTGATTTTGTAGTTCTTCTTCTTCTTTTTCTTGTTCCCGTTTTTCAACTAGACATGCTGAAGCAATGGTTAAAATGCCATTAAGATTTAGCCTAACTTTAACTTTAACTTTTGAACATTCGCCTTCAGGAGTAGGTTTTACGTTTTTGATGAGGAATGCTCCTAGAATGTAAAAAAAAAAAATTAATAAAAATTAAATTAAAACCGTGTTTATAATGAAACTTTTCATTAAATCTATATGATCTTAATTCCGGTAAATTTTGTCAAAAAAGTATAATTAATTAATTGAAAATTTCGGAGAAATCGTTTGCTTACTATCGTTTAATAGCATAAAAATTTTATTAATTACTTTGGAATATATTTCGACAATTTATTATTATTGAGTAATTCCTTATACGCCCTAAAAAGCTATATCTAGTCTTGGGCACAAAGCCCTTTCCATACAGAAAGGACTGCAGCTAAATTGCTATTAGCAATAGCCATTTTTTCAAGGATGCGACACTAAAACTAGTGGCTACTATGGTTCAAGCAAATCAGCTTTATGCGGCCCCTGTTTGGGTTTCGGCCCTAAAGACTCACGGCATCTCTGACAGGCTTCTCGCGGTTCAGAGATATTCGCTAGAGTCAAAAAGTAGGTGGAGCAATCGCCTGATTCCCCACCTCGCCACATGGTTGAAAAGGAAACACTGCACAGTTGGCTACTACCTTACGCAAGCGTTGCCGGGTCATGGTTGTTTCGGCCTGTATTTTTACAGATTTAAAATAGAAGAAGACGCTTAATGTGTGTATTGGAACGATTCGAGCGTCGACAAAGCAATACACATTGACGAGGGGAAGCACACGCTCTTTTTCTGCGGGCAATGGCGTGAACTTAGACGAGCCATGTTTTTGGGTGTTGGCACTGAAGTCACAGTTGAAAACATGGTTTCAATTATGTTGCAGGACGCTGACTGTTAGAGAAACATCGAGTCCTTCATTACGCAAGTAATGAGAACGACAGGAAGATGAGGTTGACCTGGAGATATTCTACTGCTCGGATGGGTGCTCGCGGAAGATGGAGGAGACCTTAACTGGATCTCCTCCCTCTTCCGCTGGCACTCAGTTAAGGATTTAGGTAAGTTTTAACTTCTATTATGATTTTCAAAAAGGAGAAGATTGGCAAACAAAAGAAGACTCTCTTAGACAAAGCCAAACTTTTATTCCTACAGAAGAAAATAATTGTAATAGATGCCCCAAAGAGGAACAACCATCTGTTCGAAGAGAAGGTATTATAAAATGCCGATATGAAACATAAGTAAAATACGCAGTATTTCACATGATTGTTATGCATTTTTATTTGTTTTAAAGTTCCAAATTACGAGAAAAGAAGACCTCTTTCTTTTCCTTGGAGTGCACTACCTGATTCGATGAAAGACAGACTAGAAATGCATGAAACTTTGTCCAACAAAGATTGTAGGGAGTTAAGGAAAATTATGGGCATTCATCTGATTGGGACACTTAACGATAACAGAAGAAATACGGCTAGTTCTCTAATTCATATATTTGTTAATAAATATCCACAAGCTTTAAAAATAATTGATGCTGATGGAGAAAAGTTAAGCGATGGAAAAGAAGTTTTTCTTATTAGGTTCTATGATCACATCAATTATAAAAAGCCATCGAACGAAAAAATGATAAAAAATAATGTCATTGAAGAAGATATCCATCAGAGTGATAAGGAAAATATAAATCACGATGAATACGTCTGTGACTTACCAAATGCCATTGCCACCCAATGAAACAAAAATAACGCAAGAGGAGAAACATTCAAAATAAATAGAAAAAAGGTGTTTATGGAAGAATTTATATGACGTTGAAACCCTAAAGACAGAAATTAAAGGTTTGATGGAAGTCACATACGCGAGATAAAAATTCCTGAAAAAAAGAGACGAAATTGTTTAATTGCAAATATCTTGCAAAATATTAAAAATTTTGCAAAACCTTTTGGCATACTTATTTAGCACCCTAAACACAACAAAATCACGAAGTATAAACAAAATCAATTTTTCGCCAGTCCCTCATGAAATGGAACGCCCCTATTGTAAAAACGTACATAAGGCCTCATATCAGACCACAGATAAGTATTCTCGTGAGATCGCTTACACCGAAAAAAAAATCCTCTTGTTTCAAGAGGATTCCTCTTATTTCAATGCATATTTTCCTCTAGTATATGCTGCAAAAGGATGTCCTCTAAGTTTAAGAGGATTGTCCTCTATGTAAAATTATGCCTCTTAATTTAAGAGGATACTCTTATTTTAAAAGGAAAATATCATCTTAAAAAGAACTCTGAAATAATAAAAATGCAATCATCTAATTTTTATGTCATAGATATAATCTATAAAATTAAAAGGAATAAAATTTGTTATTCCATGATTTACAACTATTTGAGTATAAATAAATTGAAATTGATTTTAATTTTTTTGAATAAATCAACTAAATCTATTTTTAATAATATTTTTATGCGCAAAACATATAATTCATTAAATTTGAAAATTTATTTTAAATAAATTTTAAATAAAATTAAAATAAATAAAAATCGTAATAAAATAAAATTTTAAATAGCATAATCTCAAAATTATTTAAATTTTTTTAAAAATTACTTTTAAAAATTCCTTTTACCTTCAAAAATAGGCATGTATTGGGTATGTTGCAACTCTATCAAGATATTTAAAAGATTATTATTATCCATTTTGTTTAATTCCCCTTTTTTTACACAGAAACTAAAACTTTTTTACGCATGATATGCGATTTATGACGCAATCATCTTTGCGCATGAGCGACTTTCTATGGGAAATCCTCTAAGAATTTAGAGGAATATTCTTAAACATAGAAGATTATTCTAAATTCTAAGAGTATTATCTTTATTCTAAAAAGATTATTCTGAATATAAGAGGAATGCCCTAGAATAGTCCTTTTGTTTCGATCCTCTTGAAATTAGAGGAAAATATTCTTATTTAAAGAGTAATACTCTTGTTTTAAGAATAAAATTCAAGAGGATTCTGTAAGAGGAATTTTCCTCTGAATACAAGAATATTTTTTTTCGGTGTATAAAATCATGCGAACACATTGAGAACTTACGTACAAACTCATACATATAAGAACTTACGTGCGAACTCACATGAAAACTCGTTCAGAAAAATACAAAGAACTAAGCAGCGCAAATGTACTAACAAACAATAATTTTTAAATATTTTATCAAATTTAATAATATATTAATTTATTTTTGTATATAATAATTTATTCCACGAGAAAAATAAATTAGAAAAATATTCTGCTTATTTATTAAATAATAGAGAGCAGTAATAGGTAGGATTCAACAACGTCTTGACAAAAATCGTTGCCTGCTTATATAGAGGTGTTTGTCGGCTGTGAGAGAGAAAGCGGTAGGCATCTGTAGTATGCAACGACTTTGTTCAAGATGTGCTTGAATCCTATTACTGCTATCTATTATTTAATAGATTTTGAGAAGAATATTTCTCTAATTTATTTTTCTCATAGAATAAATTACACTGGTCTACAAAGTTTTCTTTGATATATTACAGTTGTTTCCAATGTATTTTTGTCTACTGAAGACGATCCCGGGTTTCACAATTCTGTATTACGTCAGGATATTGTACAGTCTCCAAAAACTATTTCTGAGGGTTTTTAGTATGTTTTTTCTCCTTAACCCTAGATGGTCATCGTGGGATTTTAAAGACCCCAAAATTTTTTTGAACTGTCTGCAACGATTTTTAGTATGAGAATAGTAAAACAAAAGAAAGGAAAAGAAAAAAATTTTTTTGTTCTCATACACAAATTTATGAAATTTTTAATATCCAAATATGTATATATGACAAGAAACATTGATAGATAATGTTTTGCAATACTTCACGATTATCTGGAGATTTTATTAAATATTTTTAAAATCATTGGTGAATTAAATACAGTGGTACCTCGATTATCCGGTCCTCTGTCAACCGTCCTCATTCTGAGATGGTTTTTTTTTATTTTAAATAATCAATTTCTATCTACATAACGTTACTTTTACTTTATTTCTTTATTTATGAAATTTGAATCATTAGTATTTTGTTTGTTTGTATTGGTCACATTGTTTATTTTTGTATACTGCGTGTACACACAATGTATTGTGAACTTTTCGAGAATTTGATTTAGTCTGGATTTAAACATTGTGTCAAGTGTTTCTTTGACAAAATTTATAAAATTTATTCACTTAAAATGGAACTTGTTGCGTTCACATCAAGTAAACCAAAACGAAAAAGAAACGTTCTCACATTTGAAAAAAAATTAAAGATCATCGAGCAACTGTTCTAATATGCAAAATTTTTTTGACTGGTATGAACAGCAAGACGACGCAAATGTGACAGACACTTTGATTCTTCGCCATCTACGCACGTATGCGACGAATAAATGTCAAAGCAAAGTCAGACAAACAAAAATGACAGATTTTTTGTTATCTAATTAATTTTACTTTGTTGTGAAAAATATAAATAAAATGTAAAAAATATAAAAAAATATAAAATAAAAAATGCATGTATACTCTAATATCCGTCAAAGTATTGGTCCATTGCCTGACAGATATTGGAGGTTTCACTGTATAACATTCTTTAGATGGTGGGGTGTTAAACACCCCAGGTGACTATAATGTAATTCTATTGAAGTGTGACCATCTGGGGTTAACATGACGCGATAGACTTCTATTTAGACTTAAATTAAAGTTTAGATCATACACTTTAAGACTTACGTTTGCAAAATAAAAAAATTGAAATTTCGAAAAAATTAGGTTCAAGACACCCAAAAAATTCATTGGTGTCTGCAAAACCATTTTTTCAAAATTTTTTATCTTACGCATATGGGCTTTAAAATGTACGATTTAAGCCTTAATTGAAGCTTGTGTAGAAGTCACTAATACGTCGGGTTTAAGAGAAAAAAGGCTTAAACGTATATGAGGGTTCGTCTACATGGATTTTCCCTTGGACAGTAGCAATGTGGGCTCACCTAAATTGCGTCCCGACGAGTCACCGAATCTGTACGAAGATCCATGTATTTGAAATAAGAATTTAAATATCTAATTAGTTGGTAATAAACCTGTGTTGTGTCAGTTTGTTTGTTTTGTGTTAGAAATT